AGTAAGAGGCAGAAGAAAAAACTCTGACATTTTGTAGCCAGTGTCTACAAGTACTTCCCTCAGACTATGTCGGAGCTAAATGTCTCCATGTACAGAACAATAGCAAGATCACTAAAAGAAGCCCAAGCACAGGTGAACACAGTCACATCTAGCTCAGACCTGCTTCCTTCAGCCATTCGCATAGCTCCCTGCGGGCCCACATAAGGAAGCACGTTGCTGGCATTCATTTTAATACACTAATGAAACCCTGCATACCAAACATCCATGATAAAAACATTCTCAAAGGATCACTGCTCCCTTCTATGCATTTTGGTTTTGACAATGGATTGTGTTGGATCCATCTGACACAGGAAAGGTGTATGCAAGGTACTGTGCAGTTTTAGCAGACGACCAAAGAGAAGCAGTACTAAAAACTTCTCTGGCCTCCACTAAACCTGAAAAACATTTCAGGACAGGCAGCCCCTCTTTTTCCATTGCTAATCTTTCTCCTTTCATCTAGAAGGAAACTTGAAGCTCCAACAGATAGAAAACATGGACAAATTTTATTTAACTTGAAAGGTGCTTAGTTTTGTAGTGCCTCCTAAGTTTACAGGCTAAAAAGCAAGGAAAGATGACCAACAGTCACTTAACTTAATCTTTGTTTGGGCCTACAAAGCATCACATTTTACAACAGCAGAATCACAGTAAACCGCAGAAATGCACACTGTACAAGAGGATCAGAGTTCCCTTACAGAGAGCAGAATCTACTGTCTCCAGCAAGTCTGATTAGCTTGGACAAGCTCAATAGCTAGCTTGATCTCACAAAAATTGCCCCATCATCCAATAATTCACTTGACTTGCACAACTCTTGGCTGCACAGCTCTACAGTAAAGGAAAGCTTCTCATGCACAGGTTATCAACACCGTTAGGACAACTCAGGAAGGGTGTGAGCAGATACTGTTGTGCTGGTGCTTCCCCTCCCGCAGGTGGGCAGGGAGGACTACCACTAGAAGAGCTGGTACGTAATGTCATGTCTCCGATTTGTAAAGCTAAAACTTACCAAAAGCTGAAATAAACTCTTGTATTTGAAGAATTAAAAAATCATACAGCACCATTCTCAGTACCACAGTAACTTGCCAAGTTAAAAACATGGCCAAAAATTCAGCTGCTCTATTACAGTGAGAGGATTTACTTGGTACGTATCATCTTAAAATTTGGCCTTCTGATCTAATTTCAAAATAGGACATCCTGCCCTAAAGGACACAAATAACCTGTCCTCTTTCATTTAAGGAAAACACAGAGGTTTCTCCCCAGATCGTTTTTGTTAGAAAATTCCTTTTGTAAATGGCAACTCAAGTCTTTCAGAAGGTCAATGTAAAATCTCCAATACTTAGTCATGGTGTGGTCATACAATGAAGACAGAGACTGTTTAAACCAGATTTCCTAGCCTTTGTATATCCTTACGTCTTCCCACACGGAAGGGATGGGTTTAGAAAGAGTTATCTAAAGAAAGGTGGCTCCATTTTACTTTCTCATCCAGATTATCTCCATTTTACGTACTAATCCAGAGAAAAACACCTGCACTGAGCAGGAAACAGCCATAACTTTAACAACTCTTCCACTCTAAACAGAACTGCTGACAGGATTTTAATGAAAGAGACCCTTTCAAGAGTAATGCAATTTCAAATACACAGTACTGCCACATTCATGGCCATGGAGTTGTCTAAACATTTAGATCAGTATACCTAATCCTGTATCTCCTTTGCACGGGTTCCAGAATTAAGAGTAGATACCTTTTTGTTATTGTGAGGTTTAACTTAAATCACTTCCAAAATAACATTAACCAAACTTGAAAAAGGACCTTGTAATAATTATGAGCAACTCTAGATTAGAGGATTTTAGTGTCTTTCAGACATTTACAGTTTACCAGCAAGAAAACACACACTAAGACATCCAAAATTCCCAACACTACAAAACTTTTTCTTAATTTCTAAAGGACGAGCATTAACATAAAATATAGAAGTCAGTCTCCATCTTCTCTATCTATTAACAGCCTATTTGTGTGTCTCAAAGTGAACTGTCCTCACTATCTGATTTAGACACACAAACACCACAACAGATGCAAACATTTGGGGTTTTGCCTTCTGTAAAGAGCAGTTGCTTGAGTTAAAATAGCACACACTCAACAGGAAGCCATCTTACCTTTCCCACTCATACTGAATTTTAATTCTTACTGGAGTGTAGGACATGCAAAGAGCAACCATTAAGATTGCATCACAAATACTATTTCTTGTACAGCACAAGCGTATTAAGCAATATAATACTGGAGATGATAATTCTGTGCCCTCAGCCACTAAAAAATATTTATTTTTTACTTTTTACAAAGTCAACAAAATCTGCCACTGAATACTTGGAGTCGGTCATATCTACATTTATATATACAAGTCAAAATAATCTTTCTCTACCACAAAGGTGGTACCATGTCCTCAGTATAGCTCTAGAGAAATAAAAGTTTAATTCCCCATCATTGGTATTCAAATTCAGCCATTCAGTTACCAAATATGAAAGCTTCAAATCCATAATTTTTCCACTTTTCAAGCAAAAGAAAGCCTGAGTTCCAGTTAAAAGAAGAAATAGCAGCATTTAAATAATAAATAAATATTTCCATATTTCCTTCCTCTTCAGTAAAAACACTGTCAGCAAGTTAAAACTGCAGTGACTTTCATTTCAAGCAGATCAGATACCATTCATGGTAAATTGTAACAACTGTTCATATTATACTCTGAAACAATGCCTGCAAAACACAGCTTGGTTTTGGGCAGATTAATTGCTTTTTAGACAACAAAACAGTATTTTACATATTCATGCTTTAGAGTAGGGCATATTCTCAGATCTGAAGATTCTACCATTATAAAGGTCACTTAAATGTTGATCAGCTAAAGAACTGCTTCAGTACTACAATTCTCAGGGAGAGAGGCACACGGCTTTTGGATAAGTCACAGGTCTGTAGCTATATTCCCCGTTCTAGTAATGACTGCTTGTGCAACTGGAAGTGAGTCATTACCCTGGTGCATTATCCAGGTGTAAGAGTCGAAGTACAATATTCATCTTCTTTTAAAAAGGTTAAAACCTATACATACAGCAAGCTAATTATCAGGATGTACTACCACAAACACACAACACCCCCAGGAAGCTTTGATAGAAGATTACAAGTCAAACAGTGAAAAGTTGACCCCAAAATCCAGAATGCACAGCCTGTACAATGTTTAATTCAGCCCTTCTGTGCAAATGGCTATGCTAAGCCTTCAAATACATGATCACAAACTCTTTCTATCAGAGGACTCTAATGCCTTGTTCACCCACTAAGTGGTCATTTTCTATTTTGCTTTAATCTTATTGCTGTATGCATAACCTCAGGCTTTATTTGGTGAGCATATTCAAGCAATTCTCTCATAACTGAATTGTTATCTTCTCTCAGGACTTCTTTTTTGGCACACCTCACTTTGGGATTTGAGCATATCAGAACCAATAATGTACTCACATTCTAACAGGTCTTTACAGGAAGCAATAATTACCCTCATTTTCCACATGAGAAACTGGGACACTGAAAGATTATGATCCAGAGTACTTGTTAATTACAGTGTCCAGACCTGCTTGCTTTTCCCCATAACACTCTGTATGACCATATTTTCACTACCAATAATTAAAACATCCTCCAGACAACTGGTCTTTCATTCCACTACATTGTATTTCTAGTTTCACAAGGAATGAGACAGGAACCAATCAAAACAGTAGCAGAGATTTAGTACTTCTAAGTAAGGAGCATGAAGGCAAGCTACACTATTCAAAAATCATGCAGCTTCTTGGTGCATGTCTTGCACCCCCTCCCTTAACTATGCCTCAGACTCCTGTGTTCATAAACCATTTTTCTTCTCTTGGGCCTTGATTAACTTGTTCCTCACTGAAAACCTTGTCTGCTGAGTAACTTTGATTCTCACCTCTGTAGGTTCTTGCACTTCAGTATACCTACCTGCTCAGCCTTCCCAGCTCTCCAACTCCAAACTCCAACGTCTTATCACAATTTCTTTTCCCAAATAGCCCCAGTTCCTAAACTCTATGTTTCTCATATTAGCTGGCTGGCCAATAAATGTTTCTGCAATTCAGACAAACAGTTCAATTCTGTTATTGAAGATAAACACCATTCAGCAGTTGCATAGTAAAATCATGCCCATGATAAGAGCTAAATAAATAAAAGAAGTCGTATGAAAGCACTGTGATTACATTATAATAACAGGAGCTGTACAAATACCAGAAAGCACAGGCTGAGCTTGGTTGACATCAGCCATGTTCAGTAAAAACGGAAGATGAGTCTCAGTTTATTCTTCTACCATAGCTTTTGCAGTCCGATGTATCTTTACACTTCCATTTCCCAAATCTGTTATAAATAATGGGTTTAGTCAATCACTTTAGATACTAATTAAAGAGACAGTATCAACTCAGGACCCTGAAACTATGCCTTATAACCCACAGCTTCATCCTTCTAAGTCATTGGTACTTTCCAATACTGGTCATAAATAATGATTTCTATACTGAAACAGCAAAAACAGAAATTTCACTTCAGTTTCCTTGAATTTGGAAAGGTTTTTTTTTGAGAGAGCGTAAAGAAGTACTGCGTGTTTGAATTTACAAGACATCTTGATGCTTAGTGATGGAAAAGAGCTGTCACTCAGTAACTCAATTCAGATAACACAAGCACCATCATATTTAAAGATGAAGACTTTAAGATCAGGGCTTAGGGCAAAAGCACATTAATCATATTTAAGTAGCGTTAAATACCTAAATAACAAGTTGCAGAAGATTCTTCATCTACATTGCAATGACTCAGAATATTCTCAGCAAATTATCAAACTCCTTTCAGACAAAAACTTCATGTTGTTAACAAAGAATCATTAAATCAACACTTGACAATTATAGCAATCTATTAGTAACCCCAAGTTCAGGTACACTTGGCAAATACTCACAGAAACCTTCAATCTTGTCAGCTGTTTTGCTCCATGCCACCTGCCTGGTTTCCATTATGACCTGAATAGTCCTCCTTTCTGGACTACTCTTCTTAAGACTGAATACTGTCATAACAGTTCCCAACTCCAAGGTCCTTTTGATCTGGCTTTTCTCATACTCTGGAAGACCTCCATAGTCAATACTTTTTCTGGGCATTTTTATATTTTTTAGTCAAACTTTTATGGGTTTTCAGTGTCTAAAAAAAGAAAGAAAACAGAGAAAATTCAGTATTTAAAACAGTAGACACACGGCTTACATTAACAGCATCTTTGCCATTTTATCCTGAAAGTATGAACAGTCTTCACAGAGGGAGGTACCAGTGATGCTTTGGTAGACACAATGCAGCAAAATTTATTACAAACAAAGAGTCTCCTAAGACATCAAAAATGTACACTTTAACCCTAGCAAACTTCTTTCAAGCATCAAATCTGCTTTTATTAATTTATATAGTGAGAGGTCTTTGCTCATGGAGATACTCTCTGACACAGAGACAGAAGTAACTTTTATGAGATATCACCATTCTTATAGGAATTTCTTTATTGCTTTAGGTTATTTGTAAAATTATGATCCATAAAAAACTCACAAGTTCTCTGTGAGCCGGAAGTGAACTTTTAAATTCTTGAAACTAAGGATAATTTAGTTTCCATTACTGTAAGAAATATCTGGAAATTCATTTTGTCCTAAATATTGACAACCTACATGTCAACACGAGAAATATCTGCAACAGATCTGAATCATACTAAAAAAATCTTTCTCTACTCTCATGATTTTTTTTATATTCCCAATGCCATTTTCAGATAATCAAAATACTGTTTCCATGGTGAACAGCGGCAAATTTGTTGTTCTTCTTTGCCCTGTATTACTAATGAAGCATGAGCTTGCTGCCTGAAGAGACCTCTGAAGTCTGAGAAGCATCACAGGCACTTCGGCCAGAGCTGCCATCTTCCTGATACTACATCAGGAGCGAGGAAGTGCTGATGATGGAAGCCTACCAATCCAGTGACAAGATAACACATGAAATAACGACACCAGCTTGTGTGAACTCTTGCGTTATGTAAGAATTTAAACCTATGTGAGAGCTATATGAAAATTCAAACCAGCTAACGGTCCTCCTCAGAGATTTAAAGAAAATGAGGGGAAAATATGACTAAATACAAATACTGAAACAAATGCTGGCTTTGTCTAAGACGACTCAGTTTATGCCCTTTTGAAACTTAAGGCTGTTTCTCCTACACAGTCTACTTCTCCTTACTCACATGTCACGTGGCAGGTATTTGTATGCACGCTTTGGGACACATCTTGGCATAAAACAGGCAAAAGAGAAATGCGTGTGCAGCAGCTCTCATGAGTTTCTGTGCTTTGGTCTCCCACACATCACTGCATCAAAAGCTAACTACAAGCCCAAACACTCCTCTGCAATATTATTTGCAAACAGGATGCCCTGGAACCTGCTCTTTCATCCATGCACAAAGAAGGAAGCGTATCGTTTTCACACAAGTAGCAGGCGCTGCTGCCCCACAGTTCCCAAACACCCCCCTTAACCACAACCCTGAATAGGAAAAGTTTAAAAAAATCTCTGTGCACATGCAGTCACCAGCCACAGCATCTCCTCTGGTTCTGTTCCTCTCTCCTCAGTCCACTACTCTCCGTCATAAGCAGTTTCAGTTTCCGTGTTGATAGCTAATTCAACCATGACACTTCTCGCTTCCCCTTCTTCTGATCCTCCTCCCCCATGTCACTATCTCCTGACCTACTCTTCACTAAAGAGTGCTTTTTTCTGCTCCCATTAATACCACAAAACTGTCTTTCAACAGTGTGTCACTAGCTGCTTTCCGTGCAATCTGTCTGAAGCAGTTTGGTGCAGCCATCCCAATCCCTTTTTAAATTCTACCAATCCAATAAACACCTTTTTCCTTTACAGAGAAGACAACAATAGTCCCTTCTTAACTACAGAGTGGTCTCTTCAGCACTGCCCACAGTGAACCTAAAATGCTCTACAGCATGAACCACATCTCACTCTGTGTTTTGCAAAACATTTTACCGGTTATTTGGTACTTAGTATCTATAAATTGTTATTTTAATATGAAAATTGAATATCCTTGGAATACTGAAATATATATATATATCCCAATCCTACAAGTGAAAGAGAGCAGACAACTTTTAAGTTTAACAAGCAGCAGAAGATTTTAGCCAGAATGTAACTGATCCTCTTTGATTCCCTGGAACTAATCAGATGATCATTTAAATTAGCATGGGCTTGCCCCTAACAAGACAGCCACACTCGTCTTGCTACACTGACTTGTAATAACAGAAATGAAAGGAAGGGAAAACAAAAAAAAACAGAATCTTTGTAGCATGTCTGGTTTTCTGACAAAGAAACCCCATCTTCTCACTTCACTCTTTACATTAAGAATTGTAATAAAAGGAATATGCTGTGATTTGGAACAAGGTTTAACCATTTCAGTAACAATTCACTGCAATAATAAACCCCTCAACTTTTCAATGAGCATAGTTTTTCAGGAGACTATAACAAATTATACATCTTCTCTGCTTTTCACAGAACAAGGTGCAGATGTAAAATGAAACATGACTTAGAACAACAAGGAGTTTCTAAGTATAGCTATTTAATATAAAGGCAATGCCGCCAGTATTTTTGACAAATTAGTCCCTATGTACAAAGGAACTGCCTCTCAGAGGCAGCTTCTTAAAACAGTTTCCGCTGAATATAAAATACTGGACTTCCCCTTTTAAAGTAGCTCTTTCTTCCAAAAACAGAGCAAAGAGCAGTTTTAGACTAACTTAAATCCTAAGCCGTAGTTTTTAACTTATTGTGAAACAATGCTGTAGTTGAAGATATCTACTTCACCAGAAAAGGTGGAAAGAGTTCTGTTACATTTGCTCATTACCACTAACCACTTGTCTCCTGCTTTGGCAACCTGCTCCAGTTTCAGAATAATGTCACATTGAGCTGCCTGACAGTAAAACATATTAGACCTCCAAAAAAAACTAACAGAAGCCCTTGTTATTAGAGCTAATATTTTAAATATTAAGATTCTTACATGTACCCACAGGTGCCCCTCAGCCTTCTTATACCCATCACTGCACAACTATTTGAATCAACACTATTTCTACCTATTCACACAGACAGAGCTCTATAATGAGCCTCCTTGCCCCATTTTCTGCATACCTCTAAGCCAGCAGGGTATGAGCTAAAGACACCCTTATGAGCAACAGAAGCATTATTGCTCTTCTGCCGAAGAGCTATTGAAGCCTAAAGTAGAAAGAACCCCCACTTCACTTACACGATTCAACAAGTGAGCTAGCAATCACAGAAACATATCATAAGCTCCAGTTCAGACACACACACCAATATATGACTGTTTCCTTCTGATTACAGCCACCATAGGAGCTAAATATTGATGGTGTCCTGTACCACATACAGAACTGGGACCATCTGTTACTGTTTGTGTAGTAAGAGTAGTTTTGATACTTTTTTTAATTGAAAAGCCAGACTGATTGGGACTAAAAAGTCAGAAAGACTCACTACAAGTAAGCAAGTGAACATAGACACAGGAAAAAAAAGCTACTTAATCTACCCAGAAATCTGTGTAGTTAGTTTTACTTTATTACACTACTTTACAGAAACAAACCCTTCTTATCTGAAGATCAGTCTACAACTCTTAACTCCCTTTATGATAACACAAAGAGAGGAAAAACTGTACTAAAGGCTAACTACAAATGTACATGCTAGTAAAGAACATCACAGATAAGCACTGGTGAATCGATACTCTGTTAAAACTTCACCTACATGACACAGCAGGTACTTTCCAGGCTCATGAGTATATCCAAGAAGTGCTATTCAAAGTTTGACTCATCAATTTATAAGTTTCTTTGTGCTTTCAGCACTGCAAAAGGACCACTGCATCCTGCCTTTGGATTAATTTAGGACATCACCTCACCCAAGCACAGCACCGCCAGTATGCATGTCCACCGCCAACACAGCAGTACCACAGAGCTAGTAAATTACAATCAACGCATGGGTCTTTGTGCATTGCCCCGCGACGCAGCTGCGGCCCTCAGACCAACGCAGGGCAGTGGAACCGCACCAGGAAGGCTGGCTGCACACTTGTCATGGCCTGGAGGCCCCACGCTGGGGCCCTCACCCTGGGCAGAGCCATGCACGGCACAGGGCTGCTGTCAGGCACAAGTTGAAGGTTCCCTTCCTTTTTCTACGGCAGCCTGGCCTGCGGCGGAGAGCGGCCACAGGGTGCGGGGCGGCGGGGTCCCCTCAAGGAGCCCCTGTCCCGTTCAGGGCAGCGCCAGGCACGCCGGCACGGCCTTCCCTCGCACCTGCTGCTGCGCAGCCCGCCCATGCCTCACCCCCTACGACCCTCCCTCGCACCCACGGCGTGAAACCTGCGCGGGACGCGGCTGCTCCGCCCCAGCCCAGCGGCACCTGCTGCCCCATCCACGGGGACCGCCCTCACCTGGCAGCGGCGGGGGAGCTCCGTCCCGCCGCGCTCCCGGGGCTCCCGCTTCTGCTTCTGCCGCAACCGGGAAGGGGCGGGGTCACGTGACCCCCCCCCTACGGCCACCTCCTGGCGCGCGGGGCTGGCTGGGCGCTCGGTGCCAGTTCCCCTCAGGCGGGTCCGGGCCGGTGCTACCGCTCCTCAGCAGGACGGGGCTCTTCACACCCCCCCCCCCCCCCCCCTTTCTCCGCCTCCCCGCGGTGCGGGTGTCGAGGCGAGCTCCCCGCTGCCGCTGTCCCCTGCGGGCCCCACAGGCACCGTGAGGCGGGAGGGAGAGCCGCGCTGTGCCCCCTCCTGCCGTGTCGGGCGGCGCGGTGCTGCCCCGCCGCTTAGCAGTTTGTATGTTCTGCTCGTGCGGAGAGGAAAGGTCTCTAGCGCGGCTGGGAATTGCCGTACCGAACGGAACTTTGAGAGAGCGGGTTTAGGGAAAGGCTTTAGAACTTTACTGTCACTGGAGTTAAGGTTTTCAAGTCAAAATTTACTCGTTGTAGTGGATCGCTTAAAAAGTGCGATGTAACACAACCACTTCAGCTTACAATCGGCGGTACTGAAAGTATTTACCAGGTTAGGATTCAGAAGAGCAGGGACAACACGTCATACTGTTCTGAGGTCAAGCCCCAGTACTGCTGTAGAATTTGAGGTATTGGGGTTTGTCCCAGACCAATTT